ACAATTTCAGCATTTATCAAATTGATATACATTAATGCAATATTAATCTATTTCAGTATCATTTTTATTGACATTATTTTGCCTAAAATTGTGTCTTTCAATTTTTTTTCAAAACTCACTCCTTTTTACATAAATTTTCATTTCAAATCCTTTAAATTCTGACAACCTATATTTTTTTGTGGCAGAAAATTTTCTTTACTTCAACGCAATATAACTACAAAATTGGAAGAAATTCTACTGAGAAATGGTGACACAATCCTATTACCTTAATATAAATTGCTGATAAACAGTGAAACTCAATCACTCACTATATCAAGTAGGTCTTCAAATCACCTTGGGGCAGATCACTGTACTACCATAACAGATATATCGGGAGAGGTAGCTTGTACTTCCATGGTAGGAAACAAACACAAATGGTACAAGCCGACTCAAAAGTTTTCCGAAATTTGTTTTTAAAAAAGGAGGAATTTTGACACTTATTGTTCTACATTTTGGATCGATCTAATATACTGCTGCATTGTTATTCCATTTCAGAAAATGATTTAAAGTCCAGGTCAAATCAAGAGGAAGAAGTTGGCCATTTAAGGAAGTTAGCTCAAGATCATTTCAACAACCTCTATAGTAAGTGAATTATTGGTGGACATATCTTTTATTTTTGTATCCACTGCATAATTTGAAAAGTATTGAGATGCTTTAAAACAATTAAGTTTGCTTGTGAGACAAAAGTAATTGGTGTTTATCTGATTTGGTGGGTTTTTTCACTCATAGTTGTTTGCATCAAGTTGAGTGCTTAGTAATACAATGTTACCTACTTGTACATATACGCTTATTATCAAATTCTAGCACTAGAAAAGACCAGATATATCTGATTCTTGTCGACAACATACATACATTACAGTTAATTATTTTATTTTGATAGGTAAAGCAATCGATTCCGTGTCCAAATTTACTTATGCTGCAGTCATGAGTGGGAAAATTTCTATAGAAGGACTTCCTGTCATTTTGAAGCCAGTACGACTACCGTCTCATTATGGGAAGGACAGACTGAAGGAGATGTTGTCAGTCAAAGAAATCACTGTTCATGTGTAAGTGAAGAAGTCTCTCAATAAAAATTAAAAAATCCTTTCCCTTTTAATTTCCCTCCCCTCAATTTTTGCTTACAAACTTTTCTCAATTTGATGTACTGAAGTGTGGTTTTAAGGTTTGCAAGCAGATCTAGCCCCCACCCCCCTATATCCCCCCTATATTTATCACATCAACTAAATAAAGAAAGATGATGTGAAAGCATTATCAATGATATATATTTGACAAACATTTTTAGCTCACCTAATCCAAAAGCCTAAGCTGTTGCCATCGCAGTTTGTTGTCGTCAGAGTCATCCGTCAATTAACTTTTTTCTTTAAAAAGACTTTTCTCATGAACCACAATGCCAAACTCAACCAAACCTAGTAAAAAAATATGTTATTGGGATGGGGATTCAGATGGTTTGTTAAAATAAAGAGGCTGGTCCCTTTTCGGGCAATATTAGGAAAACATTTTACTAATCTTCAAAACACTTAATTCTCATGAACCACTGCTGTTTTGCATTGATCTTTGATATGGATCATCCTTTGGGAAAGGAGATTTAAGTTTGTTCAAATCAACCCCCTATGGTCGTATGCAGCCCTGCCATAGGGGCTTATCTTTAATGTAATGATATATAGAAAACATTTAAAGATTCTACTTCTCAAATACTTTTGCACCACATGGGACAAAATTTAGCACAGATAATCCCTATGGCAAAGAGATGAAAATATCTCAAATGAAGTCCTAGTGGTCACAAATGACATTTATATATAGGTTTTATGAATATATGAGATTTAACGACCGACTCAAAAACTAGCTACTTTCACCCTTCACACAGGGCTGTTTAGGTTTGTGAAGGGTGAAAGCAGCTAGTTTTTTAGTCGGTAGTTAAATCTTATTTTTTCTATATTCACTTACTTCACATGGATATTTAATCCTTTTTGGCTCACCTGGTCCGAAGGACCATGGTGAGCTTATGCCATACCACAGCGTCAATCCGTCCGTCTTCCGTCTGTCCGTCAACTTTTCCTTTAAAACGCTACTAGTCCTGAACTGCCAGGTAAATTTTGACTAATTTTCTTCTGGAGCATCCTTAGGCCAAGGGAACTCAATTTTGTATAAATGGAGGGTGTAGCCCACTTGGGGCACATGGGCCAAGCCCAATTTTGTATAGGTGGGCCTGACCCCTCCCCTCCGGGGCCCAATATGGGATATAGAGAGTTATCTTGAATATGATTTTTATGCCATGGCGCGGCGTCCGTCATCTGTCAACTTTTCTTAAAAATTCTCTACTAGTCATAAACGACTAAGCAGATTGAAAGGATTTGTTCCATATTTGGTCTGAAGCATCCTTAGGAGAAGGTGAACCAATTTTGTGAAAACCGTGTGTCTGGCCCCTGAAATGGTTGGGTTGACCCCCTAGGGAGCTGAGGGGCGGGGCCAAAAGTGGGCTATATTGCTACAAACGACTTCTTCTGTAGAACTATGCACAGGATATCAACCATATTTGACTGGAAGCATCCCTAGGTGGTGGGGATTCAAAATTGTACAAATGGTTGGGCTGACCCCCAGGGGGCTGAGTGTCGGGGCCAAAGGGGGCTATATTGCTATAAACGACTTCTTCTGTATATTCATGCCATGGATATCGATCATATTTGGTCAGAAGCATTCATGGGAGGCTTGATGGTGGGGCTGATCCCCCCGTGCTAAGGAGTGGGTCCAAAACAAGTTTATTACTTGGAAATGGTTGAGATCCCCACAGTATAACCATATATACAATTGTTGAGTATAAAGAGAAGCATGCACATATGCTTCCATGATGGCCTTGGGGTCTGCCCCACCCTTGGAGACTTAACCCCTGGGTAATAACTTTGAAATGGTTAAGATCCCCACCCAAAAACTATATGTACAATTGTTGGGCATAAAGAGACGAATGCAGTCAGGATATTAGAATTGATCCTGGGGTCTGGCCACAACCCTAGGGATCTAGTTTTTGAGTCACAGCTTGGAAACAGTTAAGATCCCCACCCCATACCATGCATTAAATTGCTGGGCATGAAAAATCTAATACAGCCATACTATAAGTAATGGCATTGGGGTCTGGCATATTCCCTTGGATCTCATTTGGAGAATAGTTTGCCATGATTGCTTAGATATCCAGGTGAGCGATACAGGCTCTCTGGGCCTCTTGTTCTTCTGTTGTGATGGGATAGAGGGATTTTGACCAAATTTGTACAGTAGCATCCTAGAGGGAAGGGAAATCAATTTTGTATAAGTGGTGGGTCTGACCCTCCTGGGGTCTGAGGGTTGGGGCCCAATAGGGATAATTTAGCATTTTTTTCTTCTTCTGTAGGAATGACAGGATCTTGTTCATGTTTGGTCTAAGCCAACCTTGGGTGAAGGGGACCTAATTTTGTATCAACGATGGGTCTGACTCCCCTAGGGGCAGAGGCACAGGGCCCAATAGGGGAAAAAAAAGCTTCATCTGGCTATTTCAAATTTAATTTTGCTAACATTTCAAGGTGAGCGATACAGGCCCTCTTGGCCTCTTGTTATTATAGGTTTATGTATAGGCAAAAAGAAAATCAGGTATACCGCGAAGTAAACAGGAATGATCATTATCCCCTACTTAAGGAAGTTGTTGGCGGGGGTTATAGAAAAGGGGTCCGTCTGTGTGTGTACCTCAGTTAGAAACATTGCTCACATCCATATTGCTCATACTACAACTGCTACATAGTTTATACTCCCATCATGGATGCAGGTATGGTTGCTCTACTGATGCTGAATTTGACCTACATTCTATGCTTCAATGACTTGGTTAAGAAGAATTGTGTCATGTATATTTCAGGTGAAGAAGAATTGACCAAATTAACATTACGGTTACTATAAGTGCTACATGAATTATGCATCAATGCTCAATCTATGATTTCTTTACTTATTTCATAATGACGATGATCACTAATGGAATATTGTTGAGTAAACACTTAAAAACAAAAAAAATATGTTTGAAATATAACATTTTGTAATTTTTATCTTCCAGAAATGATTCTCATCAGACACCCCGACCACCGACTCGACCAACAATCACTTACGTACAGACAAACCCACTTAATGAGAAACCACGACCACCGACTCGACCAACAATCACTTACGTACAGACAAACCCACTTAATGAGACAACCCGACCACCGACTCGACCAACAATCACTGATGTACAGACAGACCCACTTAATGAGACAACCCGACCACCGACTCGCCCGCCAATCACTGACGTACACACAAACCCTCTTAATGAGACACCCCGGCCACCGACTCGACCGCCAATCACTGACGTACAGACCGACCCACTTAATGAGAAACCACGACCACCGACTCGACCGACAATCACTGATGTACCCTTCAGCCTCTGTCGGAACAAAAAAAAATGAAGGTAATGTGCTTATTTGATGTTTTAAACTTATTAAATAGGTATTGTTATATATATATATTGTTTATCCTTTAATAATGATATCATATCTATTACTGTTAGGATACATGGAACGTGCTTTAGGGTCCTCGTCATACCTTTAAAAAAAAGTGATATGATTTACTGATTCAGATACAGTATTTAAAAATTATTTACTAGTGTACAGATCACTGTAAAGCAGTTCTTTTCTTGTTTGTTTTTACATGTTCTATGGATTTGTTTTCCAGATATCTACACAGTTGAACATGTTTTGAAACATAGAAGAAAAGGCAAAAAAACTCAGTACTACATCAAATGGAAGGGTTACAAACTTGAAGACAGCACATGGGAAGACGAAGGTCACATTTTGGATAAAACAATTATAAAGAACTATCTTAAAAAAATGAAGTAAAAATATATCAAACCAAATGCAGTAGTTTGTTTATTTGAATCTACATCCCATTTTGTAGGATTGTTCTCTATAGTGTAGCATGAATTTTTAAAGAAGGTTTGTACACGTTTCTGCTAATTTTTACTTAATACTGAGACTTCCAGTTCCAAATACACTGCAGATGTTTGAACAGAAATGAATGCAAAATCAGGAGAATCAGAAAAATCCAAGCTCTTTCTTTACCGTTATTTTTGAGGTGTTCAAAGAAAAAAGTTGCGAAATCTGGAGGATCACAATAGTCCAAGATATTAATGACATTGAGCTACTTCTTTACCGGGTATTTTTGTGGTGTTCACAGAAAACAGTTGAATGATCCTTCCCCCCAAATGTTGTCCATCGAAAAGAGGAATGATTTAAAAATGTCTGCACTAATCAAAATTACTTTCAAGTTTCAATTTAAAGGATGATTCCCTTTAATATGTAGCGAAAAGTATATATTAACAAGTATCCAGTATACTTCATTGAAAGTCAGATAACAATGGACTTTCATATGTACATTCACATTTTATACAATAAATGTCAGTTTATGAAATTTCAACATCTTCATCAATCTCCTCACAATAATCTTCATCTTCATCAGACACCTGACTGTTCTCTTCCTTTTCTAGTTCACTTATTTCTTCAAAGATTTTTGAAATTTCTTCATCAGTAACAGGAAGTGTTTGATTTGAATCAAAAGGAGAAAGAAGGTGTTTTTTTGAATCTCATGAATCTCCATAACCAAATTTCTATTATCAACTTCCTCAGCTTGAAACACATTTTCACATGTTTTCCAAAGTTGTTCAACTTTAAAGGGGTGAATTGACATGTAGTAAATTTTGCCAGTAGTGTATCTAGACGGAGAACCATGCTTATATGATACAATTTCATTATGAAGATAACTGCTTTGCTCTAGAAGGAATTCCTGCATGCAATGCAATGCACTTCATTCCTACAAACCGATATTTCTTCTAAAGCGTGACTTTTCAAGGACAAGGCTTGTGCAGCTTTCTGCTGTTCAGCACTTACTCCCGAAATTTCCAGTTCCAAATACAATGGAGATGTTGGTAAAGAAACTGTTGTAAAATCTACAGGATCACAAAAGTCCAAGCTAATGATGACATCAAGCTCCTTCTTTATTTTCGTGGCGTTCACGGAAAACTGCTGGCTGATTCTTTTTTCTAAGTTTTGTCCATCTACAAGAGAGAATAATTTATATTTAACAGATTTATTGAATATTACAAATTGTCCCCATAAACAAATTTATTTGTATTTTTCCTTATGGTCCGAAGTTGAAATCTGTGATCGCATGTACATAGTTTTGGAGATGACGAAAGCAAAGGATAAAACAAAAATGCTGGCCTCTTTTTACACAAATTAACAAGGAAAGTAAATGATAACTGTCTTTTTGGCCTACTTCGTTATTATATCTTATAGTAATTCTTCTAATGTTGAAAAAAGGAGAGCTTACAAAACAATTTTCTCATAAATAGTATACCTGCATATTTTTTCATCATTTCAGATAAGAATTGACGCTCAGTTGCAAGCTGCTTCAGTTTCTGCAAGCTACTAATCCTCCTTCCTCCTTTTCTTCATAACAGTCAATTAAATTGCTTTCTCTCTCTCTTCACCAAATGAGTGTCGTAGTTCTAAGACCTGCATCAACCTTCTTCTCAATTTTCTTGATTTGCTTGTCTAACTATGAAAAATACAAGAACACTATAGCCGTAATTTTAAAAAAAAGTTTTTTTGTGTATAGCTTTGTATTATCTTTCACTGAAAATTAATTACTGTCAAACTGTGTATCTTGCTTTGTCATCCCCAAAACTTTGAATTACATTTTACAGCAGTATTTTGCATTTAAATATATTTTCTTTATATTAAACAAATTAATGTAACTCAATCTATTTTATTTAATATAACATAAAAATCAGTTTTTGCCATTATGTTAGACTTACTTAAAAACGTCTCTGTCAATAATATCCCTTACTTCAGGTTCAATGTCATCCTCAGAAGCTGTACTCTGAAATACAAATGTACAATTATAGGCCAAATTATGCATAATGAAAAATCATTGTGAATTATAAAGTGATATGAAATATTTGATTTAACTACCCTTAACAATGAATAAGACGAATAAAGCCACAGTAGCCAAATTCAAATATGTACACTCGCATGAACATACTGGTATATGGTATTATATAAATGGATAAACACATGAAAGGACAAAATATCAATTACCTTTTCTTTGATAAGTTGTACATGTTTTCCACATACACGTCATTCACAGACAGTGCTGTTCCTGTAAAGAGACAAGACAAATAAATGGATACTGAACTGTATTGCTAATAAATAGATGGTTTCAATTATCCAGAGCTGATTTCCACACAATTTTAAATACAAAGTGTTGTTTGTAATGATATGAAATGTTTCTAATGTTGAAACATGTCAAAATAATAACTTCGTATTTATTTGAATAATTATGGTTATGAAAAGGAAAAGAGGCTAAAGAAATCTGCTTGAAAAAATATGCTACCTTTCTCTGCTCTAGTTGCTGATTGTGTTTTCCATTCACAGAGCCAAACGTCAGCACTTCCCATACCAACTGAAATACAAAAGTGATAATTCATGTTTTAGAATAGTGTAAGTCTATAAAAGATCAGCTATAGGCTTAATTGAAACAAACATTTGAAAGCAAACTCTAAACATTTGATTACCTGACTGAAATCTATCACTACTAAATGAGCCAACTTTTTTAAAGAAATTACTGTTACAAATATGCATACCATTCAAACTTGACGCAACATTGTGAATTATTGCTGAGCAATCATCTATTGTCTTCTTTGCCTTTGTAGTTCTGGTAGACAATCTACTGCCTGTAGATAAGAAAATGTATTATTTTTCAATCATCAGAAGGCAAATCACAATTTCTTATTTTGATTGTTCAAGATTTGATAGATAAAAGTCTTTCCTATTTGACATTTTATATCTTTATGTTTAAAAAGATTCTCATACTACAATAAAGTCTGGTGCAGTTATGCGAATCGAGTTTTAAATGAGATTGAATTTAAATGTGCTGGCACAAAAACTTCATGGTATCAAATACCATTTACTGTAGTCAACTGTAAGGCAACAAAGATGAACTAATACATTTCATGTCTTTTCGAGGAAATGTACCTATAAAATCATGAAAACTTCAACAAGGTTTTTATTTCCTAAATTCCATATCTGCCTCTCTGTATGATGAAGCATTGCTTCTGTCAGAAGATCGCAACGGTTATCACGTGACATCTCCTTGGTGATTTTCTTGAATCCGCGTAGATAACTCCAAAGGCGTTCAATTCCTTCACCATCTGTCAGTCCCGTATTATCAACATATGGCTGACCATATTTCAACTGCAAAAACCGCAGAGACAAAAACTTATTTCCTAATAAAGGTAGTAAACTTACAATCTGTAAATCTCTATTGTATTGCTTCTTTTCAATGACACACACAACTACTTACAGTAAAATCAATTAATTAAATGTAAATGTGCAACACTTTTCCTTATTCATGATTACTTCTACTATAATTACTTGACATGGCATGTTGTGTGCAAAGCTATGGAATACAGGAACTGCAAAGGCGAATCTATTCAAGATGTCATTCTGTTTGTTTTTCTGAAAAGTTATTGCCATACTACCATCAAATATTGTATTGCACTTATTATATGTACATGTAAAGGAATATAATGTTTCATACAATGAAACTTAATTCCTATCAGAAAATGAAGAAGTAAGAATAGGTGTCAATCGCAACAAGTTCAGGATTAGTTGAATTTTCTATATTAGGATACGTATACCAGTTTCACCCGAACAGTGGGCTTCTTCAGGATGATTAAATGACAGAGTTTGTCCCCTGAAGTACGAAAATTTGGGGCACATTTATATTGTTGATTGTGACATGAGTCAATTAACGTCACATGATCATATCTATTTTTAACGTTCTGTAATGTTCCATCGTGGTTATCTTGAGTGAATGCGCATTTTCTAGTCAGTAGTATATGAACACATTAATCTGTTACCTACAATTGACTGATTTTTTGTAAATCTATATATATATATATGGGTTATAAATCAGAAAAAATGATCCTTACGGTCAAAGAAATATTATATAAAGAAAAATTCTTAACAACAAGTCTTTAGTACTTTCATCTCTTCTAGGAGATTTTTGCAGTTCATAAAATTTGTCTCAAGACTCATTGAGGTTTATTTTTACATATTGTCGATAAAAATATGCTTTTAATGGATAAAACAAAAAATAATTGGTAATTTATTTTACATACTGTCGATAACTACCTCCGGCAGTTATCGACAACCCTATTTCCGACCTTAACAATACCCCGGATGTAGATAATACGCTGACAAACGTTGCAGACGCTTCATGAGTTGGATTACCAACTGGTAATTGTGTGACAAATATTTCAGAAAGAAATGTTATCAAAATTCGAAGTGCCAAACATGTCAGTCTTATCGGGGCCCGTAAGGGAGGTTTAAAAACAGGATCGATTCTTCTCTTTGGAAAAAAAAATTCAGAAAATTTGTTTAACCGGTGCATTCGGAATACCCTTTCGTCATTTTCTACGAAACTGACTCGGGGCAAAGCAATCGCAACTTCTCGGCCAATTCCGGCTAGGCGCGGAATCATACCGCCTAGCCGGAATTGGCCGAGAAGTTGCGATTGGGGGCAAAGTAGTAACCATTTTGGACTATTTTCGATCACGTGACACCAAAGATGGCGGCGCCCATGCTAGACAACAGCGGTGTGATTCAACGATAATCATGGAGAGAAAATGGTTGTTTGTACCTTTTATAGTGATTAAAAGAGATGTAAGGGGAACCTAAGGAAGGAAAAGTCTTTAACATGTGTTTGATACTTCTGTTTCAAGAGTTTTGAACTACGGTTGCAAAAATGGGGCTTTAATACGGTAATCTTTAATACTGCCGCTAAATAAAAAACAGGCACTTTAAATGTTTCATTTTGTTTTTTGAGGCAGTTTGTGAAGCTCTTAAAAGAATGTGCAGTTTTAATATTAGTGTCAATATTAACATTATTAAAAATGATATTGACATCAAGCTCAGCATTGGTATTTGAAATTAGTAGTGCTTCAGTTTTATTAGGATTAAATTTAACAAGCCAATTTTCTGCCCAGTTATGATTTTTTTCAAGATCTCGGTTAGTAGTAGTTTCTAGTTCAATTGCGGAAGGAGAAGAGACGGATAGGGAAGTATCATCAGCAAAAAGACGGGAAGGGCTGACAAGGTTATCAGTTATATCGTTGATATACAAGAGAAAAAGAAGCGGACCTAAGACAGAACCCTGGGGTATACCAGCATTAGTTGTTTTAGTATGAGAAGTAACCTTGTGGATGAAGACTTGTTGATGGCGATTCTGTACATAATCGGATAGCCAGTCTAAAAGATTTCCATTAAACAAAACAAGATTAATATTATTACATTGATGAATAATTTTATTTCCATACATGGATAGCATATATTTATACTCAGTAAACAAAAACTGAAATACTTATAAAAACAGTTAACAACATAATTCACATCGTCATAAATATAGCTACTATTAAAGACTGTTCCCTTCCCCGTAAATTTTTCACATTGTCATTCAATAGCTACTATTCAATCGTTACCCTGTATAAGAATTCCCTTCCCCGTATATTAAACCACACTTCATAAATATAGCTACTATTAAAGTCTGTTCCCTAAACTATTCACATCGTCACTACACTACACTTCAGAGAACAAGGGAAGCGCCCTTCCGTAGTAGCTGTGATGTTGTAAGTCTCCCCTGCTCGTAACGCTTCCACATCCGGAAGACGCGTCTCTGTACCTGTCATGACCGCTTCCTCTGATGCCTTTTCAATTTCCCCTCGGTTACCATTTTCAGTTGCATGGGAATGGCCTCAGCTTCCCGGAACAGCTGTTGTATCAGCAGATAAAATGGGACTGGTCCCCTTACGTTCACACGGGTGTTCAGGCGATGGTGCCAACCTTCGACGTCATTGTTCGTTCTCACTGCTGTGTTAAACACACACCAATTGCTGATCGGGAAGACTCTGAAAAATAAATAAAATAATTACTAAACTATAAATTTCATTAATTCTTTGGATTGCANTTTTTTTTTTTTTTTTTTTTTTTTTTTAATTTAACAACCTGTTATGCCATAGAAAAAAAAATCAATTAAGTCAAATTTAAGTGATGTTTTTGTCATTACTTCATTTTCGGTTTTTTTCATCTACGTACCTGTTTCTCATCCACGTACTCTCGATGTAGTTCATCAGGTCCAAGATAGGTTGGGAGGTTGCCCGTTCCCGCAGGCTGTCGAATGCTCCTAAGATGTGCTCCTTGGGTAGGAAATGGAGTGACATTACCTGGCTGACGAAATCGTGGACCTTGCTTAATAAATAACTAAGTATAGCGGGACATATATATAACATGTTTAATTAATAAATAACTAAGTATAACGGGACATATATATAACATGTTTAATTAATAAATAACTAAGTATAGCGGGGCATATATATAACATGTTTAATTCATATTTAAACAATAATTTAATCTGAAATGGAAATCCCTTATTATTAGCTAAGTATAATTATGAGTGATTTGTACTCACCAGTTGCACACGTTCTGCCATCTACTGCACACGTCACACTGTAGGGCTTCCTGTCGAGGTCGAACAACGCCATCACACTGAATACACGTATCATCCGAAGACATGATGAGTTTTTTTGATAAATTTGATAGCGGAACCGTCATTTTTATGACAAGTTGGTGAATTCCCTCAACGTTGAGTTTCTCTCCTAAAGAGCTACTCCGATCTACTCCGATTTACTCAGCTGCTCAGTTAAATAAACAACCATCGCGTATGTTGCGGGATCACGTTTGAAGTTCGAAAACAATGATTGACTGATCTGCTTGATTGTTTAAACAACTACAAAAGCAAACGTTAAATAAACAATCAACAATAAATAATAATAAATAATATTTATTAAGTAATAAACGAATGACAAATGAGAAATATTTATTAACTAAAAAATAAATTTCCGAAAAAAATGTTGAAGTACCGAAACAACTTACAAAAAGTACCGAAACTACTTACAAAAAGTACCGAAACCTCTTATTTTTGAAGTACCGAAACTACCGTGTACCGAAACGACTGTACGTATGAAATATACATATTTAATTTTTTGCAGGCGTTTTTAAATGTGAGAAGGTGTACTCTGATCTTAGCAGATTATCACTTTCAATAATACATAAAATAAGAATCGTTAAGTATTGGTTGAAATTACTAAATACAGATAATTGTATTCTGAAAGCAATAAAATGTTATCTACAGTCCAAAGTTACTGGCTGAGTAATATTAAAACAATACTGATGTCTCTAGGTTTTGGATTTGTTTGGTTTAATCAGAATGTTGTATGTTAATGTCACACAGGGTCGTAATCAATTAACGATAAGACGTTTCGAGTTTGGTTCTTTATTCTGTACTAATGTTAAAAAAACACTGTAAACATACAAACACACTTCTACACCCAGAACAATGAAACATACCATAACGCAGACAATATACATGAAAACCGAAAGTAGAACATGCACTCACACACTGCTTACCAGACTATCCGGTGTTCCCTTCTATTACTCTCCGATCTCTGCGAGGAGGTGTAAGAGTCTCATCTAGAGGTATAATAGCTCAAAAGGGGATGTGTCGCCCTCGCGAGCCAGACACATACATAAGTGTCCGACATTTACATAACATAACAACACAGAACAATGTCAAGGTCACTTGACTGTATAAGAGTAGGCTACGTGTATATGTATTATATGTACAAAGTACACTGGGTTAAATAAACATCAATTTATATTTTAATGTTAAACAATGATTGATGCGTTTGCACAGATTTTTGAATAATGTTTTGAAAAATCTTCCAAATGTTTTATATAGATATCTGCCTGGGGTAAATTGTCTTCAGTTCTATCTTTGGAGATCTTTACCAGAGTCGTATACATTGTATTTCGATTTTTCCAAAATTTAGGTTATCATCTCACGATCTTCGTATAGAAAGAGCGAGACAGATATAAAAGAATACCCAGAAGCGAAAGACTATAGATATGACTCGAGATATGAATGTTTAATTAATTACATTTCATTCTTGTTTGTTGTTAGTAACAGATATTAAAGAATACATCCATTTATGTTCAAGGTAGTCAACTTACGTACACTTGAAAATAAGAAATTAATTAACTTTTCTAAATTTCTCATTGGCGCTACTAAGCCAAGATCAAATGTTGTCCATCCTCCATAATATGTCTGTATTACCC